GAAACCCAGGGATCTCTTAAATCATCCTGATGTCTTGGCATTCCACTTGAGTATCGCTGATACAATTTCCTACAAACGTGTTTAAACACCCTTAGCTTTACACGCTTACATCAAATGTCAGCACTACCCTGCAAAACCTTTTGTTAGTGCGAACAAGGGCAACGGATCTCAGAAAGGACAACAACAGCAACACAACAACTCATCAAAATAGGGCAGAACCTTTAGGCGTAAAACAAGTCAACATTCTTTGAGTCTGACATAAAGTTAATGGAAACCACACTTTGAAGCAACTTCCCCCCACTTTCAACCCTGAAGAGCATTTTCCTGACTGCTGCTGCGCTGTCACCAGAGAGCATCCTGTACAACAGCAACTGTCAGACAGAGAGATAGCAAGTGAGTGACTGGCTCAAAGGTTTCACACCCTCACCGTGTTCATACTCTCACATCCTCAAAACAGCTTCTCAATGAACACCTTTCTCTTAAATGCTTAACTGTGGCAATGTGAAGTTTAGTGGAAAGGGGAACACACACAAAAAAAAAACAAGGCAGTGCATATACTGCACATAGTTTTCCCTCACACTTCACCAATGGAGGAGAATTTGAGAATACTGTGTCACTAAAGTTCTGATATCTTAGAAAGATCCCGTTTCAAATATGTGGCTGATTTATCAAGAATAATGCCTATTTGATTATTACCTCTGATGTTTTCAGAGAAGCTGAGAAGACAGTAAGTCTTATCTCAGTAAGGGTAGGGTTAGCATTAAATTATCATTTGCTCTAGTGTTTCATTCTGCTTGGAAGATACACGCTTTTTAATCTAATAATTCATGTTTTTATTGGACAGTTAAAGTCACCACACATAATAAAGATAACTTCTTAAAACAAATGGGGAGGATGTGGTGTAGTGCTGACTGCATTTTATAGTCAACTTGGCTCAAAGCCCTAAAAACTCCTTTTCCCCTCCCAAAAGGCCTTTTAGTGGACATTCAAGTTTAGAGTATTTTGTCACACAACAGCTGAGCCTAAGGTGGTGATGTCAGCAAGAACGCTGTTGTCCCAGCTGCAAAATGAGGGCACTGCATCATCCTGTTATAGGAAGTTTGGACTCCTGAGTTCAACAAGTTCAGATGCCCAGGGACTCCCCAAGTCTAAATTGAGGGTACTCTGTGTTACTCACTATCTCTTTTGCAGAGGATGGTGGAATGGCGAGATAAACTGTGAGAGGTCAAAGGGGCAATCAGGGTACCTTGGTGACCCCAGTTGCTGTAATTTGTGTAAAAAACTAACGCTTTAATCCTCACACCAAGGATCACATCAGCTGTCCATTGCGGAAAATGTCATAAATCTGCTTAGAAAGCATGGGAAAAAAATCTCCTGATGGACTTCGTGCTCCATCCTGTTTTTGCTCCAAAAGTGTCCTTGTGTATAACGGTGTTCCAGTGATGTCTGTCTTTATATTGTCTGTACATTCATAGGTTCATTGCACAACGGAACTAATATTCAGCATATGTGGAACTCCGGTTCCAAAACTTGATCCATGATAATCCATCAAGCTAAAGTAAGACCATGTATAATAATAGGTCAGATTAAATCCATTTTTTTTCGTGACGCACCAAACATTTTTTGACGTTACTGAGTCCAGAGTGAGAGCCATGTTGATATCCTTGGATTTTCATGGAAAAGAGTCCCTACAGTCTTAACTCAGAATGATGCCAAGAACAAAAAAAACTACAGTGAGCAGCAGTTGTGGACAGAAATGCCTTGCTGATGAGAGAGGCCAGAGGAGAATGGCCAGACTGGTTCCAGCTACGGCAGTGGTTCTCAAACTTTTTCTGGCAGAGGCTGAAAAATGTTCACAAAACACCACCCCAAGCAACCAGTAAAAGATTTTAGGAATTTTTGTGGAATAAAGGTCAGCACAATAGAATCAGCAACTCGCCTTAGTTTTTTCCAATACATAAATCATATTAATTTAGAGTCACTCTATATTTTTTCACAGGCTACACCAGTGGCTCTATGCCCCCAAGGGGAATTCTCCCAGGTTTGAGAACTAATTGGTTATGGTAACTCAGATAACACATTTTAACAACTGTGGTGAGCAGAAAATCATCTTAGTACGAACTAGAAGGCTCAGAGAGTGCATACATCCTTTAGGAATAACGCCCTATGAAAGAAAGAAACCACATTCCTGGATCCACCCTTTATCCACATTTAATGGGATCTACCATGGGTCATGTCCAAATTTCCAGGAAATCCGTTTAGCAGCTTTTGAGAGAGATCCTCCTGACAGACAGTATATATATCAAGTCCTGCAAAGAACAGAAATCTGAAGCAGTGGGCACAGACTCACCAACACTGGAGAGTTGATTGAAATTAAGTCACAATCTGGAATCAACAGCATGAAACCATGGAGCCAACCTGTCTCAGTCAATACTGCTGCTGGTGGTGAGGAGATTGTTTTCCTGACAAACTTATTAGTTGGTGAATACTAATAAGTCATGGTCTGAATACCAGTCTCCCTTAGTAGTCTATTTATGGTCACAATCTACCATTTTCTATCGGCCACTTCCAGTAGGATAATCCTCCATGTCACAAAATAAAAGTCTCAAGCTGGTTTCATGGACATCACAATGAGTTCAGAGAACTTCAGCGACCTCCGCAGTCACCAGAGGTGAACCCGGTAGAACACATTTGGGATTTTGTAGAAGACAGAATTGACTCCTTGGTGACCCTTTGAAAATCTGGCAAGAATTTTAGAAATATTAAGTGGTGAGCTTCAGAATTGACACCAATCAAACCTACATGTGTTGCTGGGGCTGTATAGTAACACACTGAATGTCTTCAGCACAATATGTTTGAAACTTCTGTGTTTTCTTTCAAATGGACACAACACAAAGCAGACTTGTCCCAATATTATATTCTTTCGTAGGGCCCAAAATTTCCAGCGGCGCCCCTGGCTTTTGTTGTTTTGTAAACTCCGCAAAGGGCATCAGGACCTTATCTAAGTTTAAATGTCAGCCCTCCTAACTGTCTTCAGAGGTAATCTCGTCGTGCGTCTGCCTGCATCATGGATCAACTCTGACGAGCAGCACAAATAGTCGTAGCCTCGAGCAATATGCATCTTATTTGGGGTGGCATTCAGATAAGACTCGATCTTGATCTGCCGACCATTATGCGCCGGAGCCCTCTAATACTTAATTTACGAAGCTACATCACACTATGCAACATGATACAGACTCAGCATCATGGCAACTGGTATCACAAAAAGGACGACAGATGGTGTTTTCATTAAAGAATTCAAGCTGATAGAAGAATCAACTGAATGACTTTGTTTTGGAGTCTCTAGGGCACTTATCATATTACATTAAGTTCTCGAGCTGCCGGGAAAAACCCCCCCCAACACAGGTCAATGTCGAAAAGACTTGATGATACACAGGGGCTATCCAGTGCAGAGTTCTTGTAACACTGTACACAGTAATGAGCATGATCCCTCACTGGAGACTGAGAGCAGAGCAAATAACACATGGGTACACACACGTGGGTATTATGACCAATAATCCACGCGCTGCTTTAACGACCAACGGTGAGAACACAGGCGAGACGAATGGCCTGAAAGCTGGTGCTAACAGTCACCTGCAGACCCACCAGTGATGTCTCAAGTCTCAAGTTATCATCATTAAATTTTGTCTGTGACACATTTTCCAATTTTACGTGAGCAGACGGAGGCTTTTTGTTTTCATTTAGAAATGTCCTCTGAGCAGCACTGTGTATTTTCCCGAGTGCACTGTACCGTACACAGAGCTGGCTCTGATAGTAGATTCTTTTTTAAGGGTTACACAAACAAAAACAACTTCAGCCATACTTGTTTGTTTCTTTTTCATGAGCTGACAATAAATCAGTCACAGAGAGGTTTAAATGTTGCTCGTAAAGGTGACAGTCTGTGCTGAGTGCAGCAAAACTTGCATTGCTCTTAATGTGATGCTCCATATGCCTATAGGGGTAGTAGACTGCATTTTGTGCTTTTTATAGCCAGCACTCATGTGACAGTCAAACTGTCAGCTCGATAGCCCTTTGACTGGAGCTTAGAGAACAAAACATCCTCTGTTTTTAAAATCTAACATGTTGGAACTTAGCAATGGTTCATTAAAACTGGTCATTTCCTTGCTGGTTATTGTGTGAATATGGGTTTGGAAAACTATTAAAAGTTGCTATTTAGAGTCATGATGTACTAAACATGCCACAACAGATGATGTGGTGATAATAAGATAGCATGACGTGGGCATTGAATGCCATTACAATACAAATGTTAAGGGAAAACTTTGTCTTTACATGTCACAAGTCAAAGTTCTGCAGTCATCTGATTTTTTCATGTGCACATACACAGCTTCTGTAGTGTCGGTGGGGGATTTAGTGAAACCTGATATGCCTCTCTGAGAAATCTGATTTTTTGCTGTTCTGTATGTGGGTTTCCTCATTTCCACATGTTCAGATGACAAATGTTGGAGTTTACACAAAGTGTTTCAGACAGTGGCTGAAAAGAGTGGCTGCAGCAATGGACAGTGTGAGGAACGTGTTATATTTTCCGAACCTTTTCATGTACTAAACTCAATTAAAGGTATGAACCTAAACATAACACTGCTGGCTGTGTGAATAAGCAACTTTCACAATCACAGGAAAATGTTGGTGTCAGCGTTCTGCTTATACAAACTGTTTCTGCTCCTGAAAGTCCCTTGGAAATGAACTTAATAACCTAATGTTTTCTGCATAATATTGCACACATTTGCTGCATTACATGTGTTGCACTTGCAATTAGCACTTTATATAATATTCTTGATATGATATCTCCCCAATATCAAGGTTACCAGTCTGGCACATGATGTTTAGGCCTGCAATGTTAGATTGGAGCATCACAGCAGGGATTTCGAATGGAATGAGAAGCTGTGTATCGGCATTCTGCAGATCTCTGGCTGTGTGGAACTGAGCAGGATAAAAGGTCTTACCAGTGGAAGTGGTGAAGTCTGACTCCAGGCAGCGCTGAGGAGCCGCTCAGCTCCCCAAGAGAAACACCTACAGAAAGGAACACAAACATAGAAATATATTAACCCTTGGGTCCTGAATAACAAGCAATAGAGATGAAAAATAACAGTTCAGCTACAAAAAAAAAAAAAAAAAAGAACTCAAGAAGGATAGAAAAGTACACAAACAAGTTCCTATGACGTAAAAATCTTAGCCAAAGAAATGGATATATTGTAAAGTTTTAAAGCTTTGCAGAGGTGAGGGCAAAGGTTTAGTTTTCGTTTCCTCTTTGGTATCATCCTGTCATTAGAAGAGCTTTAAAGGAAAGACATGTACATTGAACACTGACATCAGCTTTAGCACCTTTTAATGCTGAGGCAGGATGTAGTCGCAGAACTACATCTGGCTGAGATGACCTATGTGCAACATTTTCCTGAACAAAGAAACTCCCACCGCGCCTGTAAATACGCTTAACCGCTGGTGGTTGCCACATGTGGTTACAGCCACAAATACTTCCTCCCACGCTGCAGCAAGGGTGGAGGAATCCCAGTTTAAATTTCTCCTCTCTTTTCGACCAGCGGCCCCTCAAATGAGTCCATATATCTTTTCATGTGTCAACCCCTGAAGCAGAAGGAGGTTTTTATTTTTAGGGAAATTGCCATGAATAAAACAACAGTGACAAAACAACATGAAAGCAGGAAAACGTCTGGTTTTGCCAAAAGAAAAGAGGAAGTCATGTTAAGTTCATGGTGAGAGAAAAAAAAATACAGGAGGTTGTTTGATTATGGAGAAAGGAAAGCATTTGTTTATGCCATTAATTCGGTGGCAGGAGAGGACTGGTCATCTCCTCCGACAGACGGTAATCACTTGTAATCAGACTTAATGGGTGCTCTAATGGGAATGCTTTTCCTCCCTCATGCTCTGTCTGCAGCTCTTTAGCACACACACAAAAACAAGCGTGCTCGTGCGTGTCTCTGCACACATTCACAACTCATCTGGGGAATGTAGCGCCGCGCTTCCGTCTGAAAGGGAATAATTGTTTTAATAACACTGTCTATCCATAACAATATGACATAATCAGGTCCTCTTTGAGTGTGATGCTCATTTACATATTTGCTTGGTTTGTTTCTCTTCAGTACTCATTTGCAGTGGCTGGTTAAAGCGCTGCATCATGTTAAAGGTCCAGTGTGTAAGATTTAGGTGAAAGGGATCTATTGGCAGAAATTTAATGTAAAATAATCCTCATGATGTTTTCTCTAGTTCATTTCATCTAAATTGTATGAATTGTAGTTTTCTTTACCCCAGAAAAGGCCCTTTATATTTAAATACTTTATATTTACATCGAGGGAACCCTCTCTACGGAGGCCATCATGTTTTTTACAGTAGCCCAGACTGGACAAACTAAACACCTTTTGAGTTTTTATGACAACTGAAGCTACAACAGGTTCTTTTTCATGTTTGGAAGGAGAGGGTGAGGTGAGGGGTGTTCAGCTGCAACATGCAACTTCAACACTAGATATCACAAAATTCTACACACTGTACCTTTAAAATACAACTAAACCCAGTGTACATTAATAACTGAAGGATCAGTCTGGTTCATCACATATCAGGTCCACTATTTGAGTTGTTATCATGACACCAAACTGCGTACAATGGGCACATGTTAGCCAGACACCCATGCAGTCAGACAGTGAGGAGGTTGCAAACAAGCCGCCGGTTACGTCGGATTATCTACACCACGTCATATTTTCATGCCAGCGGTAGAGAAAACAAAGTATCATCAGTGCTATCTGTTTTTTGCACATGTACTCGCTTGATATTTTTCTGGCACCAAAGGCCTGGGGCAATGTGCTGTTGCATTACTGCGCATGTAAGCACATCTGTGTTCTCACTCTCCCAACTTCAGTAGGCAACAGCAATTATTGCACTTGTCATAATGCAGGCACATTGTTGTTCATCATTGTTGTGATTTAGAATATCTGATGACGTATATTTGTATTTTGGAAGCAGGTGAGTGTTCGAGACCTCGGCGGCTCTGCACACTTAATTTCATCTGCTTTTTTAAAGTGTATGAGAGGAACCCTTGATCTTTGCTGAAGCTCTTTCACTCCACTTGCTGAATATGTATTCTTGCTACTAATAATGTATTTGGTCTCCTTCCTTTCAGCACTGTGCATGTTTTAGTCGGTCACATCTATGTGCATTTTTGTGTTGTGAGATTGCTCTTGTGCCCAGTTTGAGGAAAACGCAGCTCTATATATTTTGTGGTAAAAACCAAAACGAGTACAATGACCCCTCCCTGTCAGTAATAATCCCTCACTGCACAGGAAAACCTTTGATGATATTCTAACCCTCTGACTGCCTGACCGCTCCCCTGAACACCCTGTCCGACTTTGTTCAGTCGCCATGTTCTCAAACCTCAGAAAATAACCTCACAAGTAAAATGTCTTAATTGTAGATAAGAGTCATAGGTAATTTGTATATCCAGTGAAAGTACTAACAATGAAAAGCAAAGCTGTTTATACCCCAATTGGACAGTGCTAACGTTTTGTATATTAATAATGCTATTTCATAATAATGTCATCATGGTGTCATTTATAACTCATGGTGATATCTGATTGGCTGATTTAAATAAGCTGTAGATTGTGTCTCTAATGTCATTGGTCGCAAAAGTGTAATGTGATACCGCACAATAATTCTTAATTTTATGATTTTATAGTGACATATTTATGACATCATTCTAACCATTTGATCATAAAGGATTTAAATCATCTATATTAACTTAAACTTGTGTCTATAGTTCTATTGGGTTTGCTGAGATATCTGGGAAATGCATTGTTGAACTATTCGTGCCATCATTTTCGACTGAAAATCAAACACCAAAGAGATGCATGTTTATTTCTTAGAAAACATTAATTTCCATTTTCATTAAACACAACCCGCGTACTTTGACAGGACTCTTAAGTAGCCAAGAAATTTCTCCAGTCTACATGAGGTCATCATTTTAAAATGCTTTCAAAATGACGCAAGGTTTCGAACATCTCCGTTTTTGGGAATGCAAAACACTCAAACAAAGGGGAAAACTAGCGCTTCATCATTTAGTTCAGGTTGCTTGAGTTTCTTTCTTCAAAAAAAAAAAATGATTACACTGGTGCAAGGATTTATATCAAATCTCCTTCGCTGTCATCATTTTTTTGATCATTCATAATTGATCCATAGTGTCAGCAGATTCATACCTGATACCCTTTCAGTCTCCAATGGAATCCATCATCTTCTATC